GAATCAAAGAAGCAAATAAATTTCAAAAATGTCACCTTTCCACTCATAATTGTAGTGATACAACAGCGGTACCGTTCTGACACATATTATATAAATATTAGTTTTTGTAAATAACAAATCAGTAAAAACAATGCGAAACTAGCACGACGCCACACAATTATTTACATATTCCAATAACATAACCTCATTACTGATCTGAGGCTGGAAATCTGTTGGGTTGGTACTTCCGAACTTCATGAAGAAATTGACGAAAATTAGAACATGCATTACACGTGTCCAATTTCTTGATGAAGCGACTTCATGAATTAATTGATCAACAAATTGTCAATGTAAAACAGCTATTAGGCAAGTAAAAGAAAAAATTTTTACGTCAACGAATTCTGTATAAATCGCATTGCCTTATATAAAAAAGAATAAATAACAATACAGTTCAGACATCTATATATAAAGCATTCTATAAATCTAATACTAAAAGTAATACATTGTATTAAAAATTTAGTTAGAATTTTCTGTGGGTTTTAGATTTTCCCTATCAGAAGTAGATAAATGCAACCCAGTTCTAAGTATTCTTTTAAGAGGCTTTGGGAATATATGTACATGTATATTCGCGTTCTCTGAGGGTACATAAAAGAGAAATAGTAGCTTTTGCAGAATATAAAACGGAAATAATTTTCATCCCGAATCGCTCAGTATTGGATAGACGTGGAAGTTCTATGATTATTATTTTTAAAAAGAAATCGTACCTGAACATAATTTTACAGTTTTTTTGTTTCATTGTTGAAGCTGAAGACAACAGCAAATATCTAAAATTGGAATTTTAATTATAACAGGAATGATAGGTATGAGTAAAGAATTATAAAATTGAGCAATAATAATTTCTTAAGGATATACTTATTTCTTTTTAAATGCCATTCCCTGGCTACCAAAAAATCTTTAACTGTGACATAATAATACTTAATAAATGGTATGGTTTCATAATGGTATAAATAAATAAAAGATAATAAAAGTTACAAATTTATTTATTTATTTCCACATTTCTATTAATATGTTCACCAGAGTAAGCTTTTTGCTGTATATAGGTCTATCGTCCACTTTAAGTTTGACCCATTCCTTATTTACTTTACAGAAAAAAAATCTTATACAATGAAAACGAGTTAGAGAGTTAATCAGGAAAAGATTTCTTTGTGTATTTGTACATACCTATCTATTTAGATACCTATTTTTTTTCGTGAGTTCGGTGATAGTTGGCTTAATCTATCTCTAACAATAAGAAGAAAAGAGATGTGACTAAACGAATGTGTTAGACAGGTATTATGGCTTTGGTCATATAATTTACCTTACACTAATGGCCATATGTCACATATTATTAGAGATTACCTATCACATCTCATATCGCTGTAATCATAAGAAAGTGTTCTATGAACTATAAAAAATGTACACAGTATTTTATTCCAAATAACCCATCTTAGGTATATATTTTGCCCATTTTTCAAAATTTGATATTATACCGGGTGTTCCACATAAAAGTCCTCAACCTCGTATCTCGGCAACGGAAAGATATTTTGATTTTGAAAAAAACAGATCATATAGCTCACGATGGCTTCATCAAGAAGTGCAACAATTTTTCGTTGGCAGGAATTTTGTGACAAGGTTTATCTGATACTTTGTTCAATTCTAAACACTTTTTGTCAGATTCCTATTTTCAAAAAATTTAATAGCTTCAGAGATATCAGGCTCTTCAGTCGGTGAGGACCAAACTCAGGCGAGTTTCAAATTATTATTGCCTTACACAATGAAACAATAATTATCCAAGTCGATTTAACAATTTTTTAAGGAACAGTGAAATAAAATATACTACAACAAGTGTTCAAAAACATTTCCATTTTCGCTAATACATATTTCAAAGCTACGCCGTAGTTCCTGATCGCAAGAAGAAAGTAAAGAGCAACGGGTAATTGCCGCACAGTTAGCATAAATCTTATTTATTTAGTCCGCCATATTTTCTATTGGCCCCGTATACACCATATTTTTTAATATCTCCCCATAGGAAAAAATCAAGAGACGTTAGATCTGGCACTCTTGCTGGCCATCTAATTGGCCCATTTGTACCAATTCATCTTCCAGGGTAGGATCTGTTCAAGTACTCTGTAACTACCTGTGAAGCACCATCTTGTTGCCACATATCGCGTCTTGTTGCCACAGAAATATCTTCTAATACATTTAAAATGTCGTTTTGCAAAAAATTTAAATACCGTGCACCAGTTTGAAATATTTCTAATTGAAGTTTGAAGATTATTTTCCACATGTTGTAAAACTTCCGCTATTGTTAGATCATTTATCACTGTATTTAAACGTTTACGTTTAACATTACAACTTTTCCTTTCTTTTCAAAAATGTTTTCTGGTCTAGACATCTTCTGTTAGGGCATCATGCAGAATATAATCTCACTGCAGCTCTGAAATGTTCTCTTCATTCACCATAAATGACCATTGGACCATATTTTCACTTAAATTAGCCAAATTTCTAGTTCTCATAAGATACAATTAACTGTTTTGTCGACTTGTATTTCTGAGTGACATTAAACAAAATTTTTGTTTCCTTATAATCAAAGCCTACTGTGATGAAGTTTCGTTATACATCCAGGATTTATTTTAAAATAAGCCTACAAATAATTATGATTAGTGGGACCGCCTAGCCGGGTGTCTTGGCCGATGGATTTCGATCGGCCGAGGTAAGCATCACGGACGCTGGCTGGATCTTGGATGGGTGACCTAAGACAGGCTCGGGATGTGGCTGTGGCGGCTTACCAGAGACCTGGGTCCCTCAACACCTTCCGACTGCGTGTGGTCCCCGATAAAATGGTAATAAGAATAGAGCAATAAATTTCTGTAACTTAAGATCAAACTATCATACATAAAAATTGTACGAAACTTTGCTACCAAGCCACCCGTGTAGTAATAGGATGGTTTGAAGAAAAGTACTAGAGTTATGAAAGGGGCCTAAGTGCCGCGATGGAGAAGCAATTACGCGAAGTTTCTGATGTTGAAATACTTGCCAATTCGTAGAGTATTTTCGTGACGATCCCCCGGAGGTACTGACAACAATTAATTAATAAATTCATTTCAATGAAACTCTGGGAGAGAATGTGATGTAGCATATTTTCTATTTAAGATATTTTATAAGTTACAAATTGTCTGTTCACTTTAAATCATTTTTATTTTAGTTTTACCAGAACGTTCTAGGATGAAATCAGCTGTTAAAAATTTGTCATTTATTAAAAAGTTTGTCAAAAACGCGTGATATTATTTTTAGAGATTTTAAAAATTTCCATTAATTTGTATTCTTATACCTTTCTGTTTGTTGAAAAACAGTGCAGAAAACAGGAGGTGAACCACCCCGGATACTTAAATTAAATACCTTTTCTATTTCAAAAGATATTACAATTTCTTTCATAAACGCATTTTTTTTAAATTAATGTATTTTGTACGTATATTCCAAAACCTCTTAAACTTCCGTCAACAGCCAATATAAATACCGTCCAATGTAGAACCTCCTATAAAAATTCCTCTGTTCCAGTGGACTGGTGCCTGCCCGCGCCCCCGGAGTCGTCGTCCATAAACAAAGCCCATTCCGCAGGATTGGCGGTAGCGGATTTTATAGCTACAATATTTAATAAAACCGAAGAGGATTACTTAAATATTCACTTAGTGGGAGTCTCTTTGGGCTGCGAGGTTGCCGCCTCGGCGGCCGAGCGCCTCCGCGATTTATCCGGAAGAAAAATAAACAGGATTACTGGCTTGGATCCTGCTTATTACTTAATTAACGACAAAGGCGAGCAGAGGAAACTCGCGGCGGGAAATGCAGATTTCGTCGATGTAGTCCACACGAATTTAACTGACATCTGTGAGCAAATAGGTCATGCCGATTTCTGTGTGGACGATGTTGGTATAAATAAGGGCAAGTATATGTTTTGAGCTACTTCTATCCTTTTTTTTGTTTCAATAAATTTATTTGTATAAAAAATCAAAACAATCTATTTTAATAAGGTAAGTAAGGAGAATAAGGATCAATGGATATTAAAGTCCAATAATTTCTTTTTCATTATTTTTAAAGTTACGGTAATAGCAGGTACCGCCATTTGCTGAACTGTACTATAGAGGGTGATTCATTTATTTGTTGAAAAAGTGAGATTTACGGCAAAAAATATTTAAGAAATGTTGCTATGAACATGCGTTCTGTCTGGAAACGCTGCGTTACAAAATAAAAAAATATATATATTTTCTAAAATACCTCTGAGGATATTTGGCATAGAATGATGAAACTTGGACTAACGGTTTACCGAATTAGCGTAAAAATTCTCTAAATTCGAACATAAATTCGTTAACTAGTCGTGGAGATTCCAGAGGTCACTATAACTAAGAACTCAGTAAATATTATATCACTGATTTTCGAAAATTGGAATTTTAAGAAAAAAGATCCTTTCTATTTTATTCAACAAAAACAAAGACCATTTTCGAGTTACTACCTTTTATAACATGCGTTGAACTACTATTGAACTATTGAAGGCGTAAGATTTTATTTTTAAATGCGATTTTATATAAAATGTAATTATGTAAAGTACGTAAAAATCATTAGCGTTGAAATCAAGTTAGTAGGTGGCACAGCTCTGATAGAAAAAAAAATGTAAAATGTTCAAGCTAATGATTTTTTCGAACCTTCTACGATTACAACGTACGTGAAATCGTAGTTATTAGAAATAAGTCTTAAGAGCATTTTTTTTGCAAATGAGTACTTTTATAGGTAACATTAAAATAAAAAAGTAATAATTTGAAAATTGTCCGTTTTTTCCAAGAAATTGGAACATATACAGGGTGTATTTAAATGGAGGTGCACAAATGATACCAGAGTTCCTTGGGTGAAAATAAGTTGATTTAGCCTAACATACCTATATCCCAAGTCGCATAATAAAAAAGATACAAGGTGTCAAAATGAAAAATAAAAAATGGTTTTTCCTTATTAATTTCTATAATTTTAGTCAGAAATGTTTAAAATTTTCAACAGAGAGGTTTTTTAATGATGGGAAAGGTAATATAATTATGATTTTGGAGTGTCGAGTACGAGGCGCCCTCTACAGGCAACGTTATGTATTGAATATGTAGTAACTTTTTTGCCGACCCCCGTATACAGTTTTTAGTAACAAAATATGAAATATTGGACTTTTTTGAACATAAAAGGTATACTTATTGAAAATGGTTAAAGCCAACCGTTAAGGAGATATTTTTAATTTCATAAATTAGTAGTACGGATTTATACCTCCACGAATACCAAGGTTCGAGTGGCTTAAATAAATAAATAACAAATAGTTTAAAGTGTTAATTGATTTTAGCCACTATTTACCTGCGTCCTAGATATTAAATAGTTTTGGAATTGAATAAAATAACCAATTATGTATACTAATGACGAGTATGTCGATATGTTGCAAGTATTTTTTGAATGTTACAAGAACTGTGCTGCTGCTGTACAACTTTATCATGCCAAATATCCCAATTGTCGTGTTCCTGCTAGAAAAACTTTTGCGGCGGTAGAAAGAAGACTTCGGGGAAACGGACACATTCAACCTCGTCCTGAAAGTACTGGCAGAAGACGTCTTATTCGTGATGTAGAACTTGAAGAAGTTGTCCTTAGCAATTTACAAGATCAGAATTCTGAAACAAGCACCAGAAAATTGGCGACACAGTATAACGTTTCACATACTACGATTTGGAAAATTGCGAATGATCCATCTACAACGTGTGCAGGAATTGACTGCTGCGGATTTACCTAACAGGATAGATTTTTGTCAATAGTATATGAAGATTTCAAGGGAAAACAGAAATATTTTATCCAGTATTTTATTTGGTGATGAAGCGTCATTTCAAAGACATGGTTTAGTGAACCTTCACAATAATCACACATGGTCCGACGAAAATCCTCACCAAGTTTGTACATCCAATCTCAACATAATTTTAGTTTAAATGTATGGGCAGGAATCATAGGAGATTATCCTACTGGTCCGTTTATTCTTCCTCGGCGTCTCGGCGGAGCCGAATATTTGAGATTTTTAAATGAGCAACTCCCAACACTGCTTGAAGACGTATCACTAGCTATCTCTAAAAATATGTGGTATGCACATAACGAAGCTCCTGCTCCTGGTACATTAGCTGATTTATCTATGTTGCCGATAACTTATGAATATTAAAATATTTTCCAGCTTAGAACTCGGTAAAACGAAGCCACTGGATCAAAGATTATTGCTAAATTGTTTATAAATCAACGGTAAATGCCAATAAACTTTCACCGCTTATAACTCTCTCGAGAACCAATAAACGCAATGTAACTTTTTTTTTTTAAAGAAGCGTCTTTCCGAGTACTTTAAAATTATAATTTTTGAAAAAAACTAAATTGCAAATTGATAAATGTAATTTAATTATTTGTTTAAAAATAAAAAAAAGAATGTTGACTTTAAAAATTTACTGCGGCCGTCCTAATCAACCGATTTAAATTTTTCAAAAACCATTTGGTTGCGCGATCCTTTCTATGTGAAAAAATTTTCAAGTATCTAGTTCTAGATGCTTCATTTGAGGCTGTACAACATTTTGAAAATTCGAAAATTTTTTTTTAATTTTTTTCAAAAAATTATTTTGCAAAAACTATAGAACCGATCTTAAAGAAATTTGGTGTGTTGTTTTATTATATTCTAAATTTTTTTTTATCAAAATTAGAATGCCCTCGGGGCAATTAGAATATTTAAAAAAAATTATCCAATTATTTTGCCTTTTTTTCATCAATTATTGCTATTTTGCAACATCGGTAATAAATTTAAACATTTTTAACTTACAGTGTATTGTGCAAAATTCAATACTAAAACTTTTTTTCGTTTTCAATATTCTTCCAAAATGCATAGGTTTCAAGATATAAGTAAAAAACTCAGATAAAATAGGTATTTTAAAAATTTTTTTAAACATTTTTGCAATTTTGAAAATGTTCCGAACCTCGCCCAGATCTAGGGAAAATTTGCTTGCCCTCTCTTACATCCAAGAAGTCGACTATTTCGACAGATCCGCCCTAGTCTATAAGCCTTTAAGTGAAGATGATTATGCAAAATATTGAATAAAGCGGTTTGTTTAGTGCCTAATTGCTGTGAAGGATGACGAATTGATGTGTTTGTTCTGCAGTGACACTATCATTTACGGCTACAATATTTTCTCGTGAACGACCAATACAACTGTAAATGTTAGTTCTTTGATCTAGAATTGAACCAGTTTCTTGACATTTATTCACAATATTTCGAATGTTGCTGTTTGTTGGACAATTTGTTTTTCTATATTTTGTATTTATTTCAACTTCTGCATAACTTTCACCAAATTTAAAATAATTTTTAACAATAAAAACTCATTATTCAATCGTATACCCTTCTAGTACAAAAAAACACAAATGACGGCACATTTAGAAAGATAACTCAAATTTGAATACTCCTCATTTGTGTAACTTCAATGAGTTTAATTGTACTATATTTAAATACACAAATATTGATGCAACTTTAGTATACATAAAAACCACAAAACATCGATGATTTGAAAACACATTTTGTTTTAATTTACTTAGAATAAATCTATTTTCTTTGCCAAAATCAAATTCAAGTAAGAAACAAAATATGTGTATATTTGTATTGTTTTAAGTAATATAAGAACTGAAATTATTGTATACGCTGAACATTATTCTAAAGTTAATTTATAATAATTTTTGCTGCGTATAAAAAAGGTTTTATTTAAAAAAAAACAAGATGCATGGGATGGCACGAGATGGGCTTATTATATATCATCCGGTGCTATCCTCATTTATTTTCTGTCAGCACTAAATTAGGGTATAAATTTTTATCATTCTCTAAATTTGCATAATATTTTTTCAGGTCCCCTTGATGACAGTAAACCGAAATCTGTTGCATTATTTGCCACGTCTGTAAATTCTAATGATATCAGAGCAACGAAATGTGATAATATAGAAAATTTTAGAAGTGGAGCATGCAACAACAGTGAAAGAGTAACGTTTGGGGAAAACATTGACATTAGCGCTCAAGGAAAATATTATATGAAGAATTAAATCATTCGTTACCGTTATTTGTACATTATAAAATAAATGCTTTAAAACTTATTAAAAATTTTCGTATCACACCAAGAAGCGAATAATGCAGTATTAATTTAAGGAAGTAAAATGTGTCGCCAACTTGATAATATGACTCGTATACAAAGTGTCCTAATATTCCGTGTACAAGGAACTAACATGGACTCTTGGTATAAACACCAAATTATTTAATTAATCTTATCTCTACTTAAAGCTGTATCGTTTTCATTCTAAAAGACATCAAAGTTGACAAAAAAATTTATTTCTTTCCAAGTAACTGTAAGACGCTTTGTCCGATTTAAACCAAATTTGATAAGATCGAACCTCTTAGAATACTGACTGAAATAATATCATTTACAAATATTGATGTAAAACCCCCACTTCTATGTAAATATGTTCATTATTAACTAATTTATTAATATCGGCCAACACATTTTTCATACAAATGCCCTTTATTAATTTTTATAATACTTGAAGTGTGCTACATACTCAATCGGAGCATTAGTTCGCAGAGCAGTTATTTTCTACAATATTATTTATAACAAACCTGATTTAGAAACCTGACCTAAGGAAATTAACAGTTAAATTATAGTAACAAAATTTCATTGTTAATTATATCAGTTTATAAGTTGATATCTTAAACATTTTAGTGTTAACTTTTTCAAAACTGATACCGATAAAAATTGGTATTGGTGGTCCCTTGTGCTGCACAAAATGTAATAAAACCCTTTAAAACAAATAGAATAGGTCAATTTATTTGCCAAAGGCGAGATAAATTTGTTTCAATTGATCTTCCTCTTCTTTGTTGGTAGTATGTATATTAACTGGGGGTCCAGAACTTTTGAAACCCACTGTAGTTAGATCACTGTCACTATTTGAATTAACAGAGACAAAGGGGAATTTAGGATTACGCCAGTGGAACAGAAAACCGGAAGGATAAAGTACCTTCCGTAGGGTGTGAGCAAACAATGTTTGATGGATGCTTTCGCGTCACCTCCAACACAGCTCAGACCCTGACCAGATCAGGATAAGCTTTATACACAAGCGGGAGGTATAAAGTTTGTTTGATATTCATATTCCGATTTGTGTACATATCTGTGCATTTAGTAGAGAGGAGACGGTCGATGGGATCTATATTGTGGACATTCTGTATGAGAAGGCTTTTATTGTAGCAAAACCTGAGTGCATTTAACGTTGTGGATGGTAAAGTGGTGCCTTTGTTTGCATGTCAAGTGCTTAGATGGCGTGGCGAGTCATTTTCATTTTTGCATTATTTTACCCATGTTTTATTCTCAAAATTCTTAAAAAATAAAATAATTGGTACAAGGACATATCAAATTTAAATTATAATTAGATTACACGCCAACGAGATAAAACCGAACTTTTTAATTCAATGTTGTAATATGTACAAACTTGATTTAGAAGCTTAGTCACCATCGCAAGTTTGAGTAAAGTAGAAGTGTATTCAGTGCACGACAATGCATCATATTTATATCTCATAAGGAAAAGTGTCAGAAACTCGTGAGAGACTAAGGAGACAGTTTAGTGATGAAACACTGTCTGGCGTAAGCTTTTACAAATGTAGTAAAGCATTTAAAAAATAGTCCAGAACATGTCTAGGAAGAGCAGCAGTTATAACGAGCAATATCAACAATAAAAGACATTGTTAATAGAATTAATAATGTTATTAAAATTTCAAATACTGCTGAAATACGATTGGATGGCTCCATATAAGTAGAAAGGGAAGTATTTTTGCAGTCTATTATGTCTGCTGATAAAACTTGGTTACACTATGTTATCCTAGATCTTTTATTGTCAAAACCAAAGAACAACCATTATTTTGGATAGGAAAACTTGTGTTTCCTAACCTAATGACTTAATACGTTTTTAGAAGAACGCAAGCTCAACTGCTGTTGTTTATACACTGATTATTGTTTAAAATTTCAGCAGTATTTTTCGCCTCCATCCTCTCCTCAACCGGACACCAGTTCTTTAGACCTTTATTTAATGAGATTCTTCGAAAAGAGTGTCAAAAGACAATACATTTTCTTTTCAATGAAGAAGTCGTGGAGATTAAAGACGAGTGTATTGATAAGCTTGAAGAATACGTTAAGGTTATTTTGGTTCTGTTAGCGGATTGTCCAGAACTAAAACAAAACTGCATTCAAAAGTAAGGAGATTATATTGAAAAATAATAATTTATATTTGCAGTTTTCTCCTTATCTTGAAGATAGTCCTCGAGCATGTGACTAGAAGCACTGTGGCCAGTTCTAATCGATTATTGCTTCGTTAAGCAGATGTGTTCTTTGTACAGAGGTCTGCTAATCGATATGACCCTTAGTTCCTACATGTTTACAAAAAAGTTTAAAAAGTAAGCTGAATTTCAGGCGTGCAAAAGTCTTGTATTTACCGGGTATTGCAACGAAGATTAATTTTCCCAATTACAACACTATCAGACTGAATTATTTATCATGTTGTAGAGTGTGACAGAGTCCTGGTTAGCTATTACTATTTCCCCGAGTCTAATCTTGCTCATACTCGGCATTCATCTGTTCTCTTCCGTGAGGGAACATTTAGCATTTCCTTCACTTGATCTTGTCCTGTTCTTGAATCCTAGTTACTTACGATGTTCCTTTTGCACCTATTTTTTCAAAGCACTACACAAAATGCCAAACCCTGACTCTGATCCTAAGATCCCAGATCTCTTTTTTTACAAGTTTACGAGTATCTGCATTTTTATTTAGTGCAATGCTTTTATATATCTACGTATTCACTAGCTCATTTAGCACTTGTAAATAGTCTCAAACCAGTCTAAAGCCTGTAATGTAGCCTAATCATCGGTGTATACAAGTATATAGATCAGCTTACGTTCCATATGCAGCTACAGAGAATATAGCTATAATTCATTTACCTCCTGGGCTCCAATCTTACTGTTCCAGATCTATATTATTGATCCCCCTTTCTCGTCGATTCAATATTAGTGTTTAGATGTATGGAAATTAAATTTTACTACCAATCTATCGGATCTCATCTCAACCACTGTAGTAATAACCTTCGAGTGCTCATTGTTATAAAACGTTCTAATCATTATTATTTCTGATATGGTATGCTGCCATTGTTGCCTCTTTTTCCATGGCGATATAAAGGATACCATGCAATAAAACTTCTAAAGCAACGACGCTACTCCTCGACTTCTGCTATACAGGTTATATTCTTTATCTATTTATTCTTTTTCTTATGCCCGTTTGCACCACTATTATACTAAGGACAACTTAATGAAGCCGTTCTTTAAGTTATGTTATACTTATTTATTAGTATATTGTAAAGAACATCTTTATAGTGACAACAATGCGGAAATCTAGTAAGATCTAGGAATTTTCTTTACATTATGATGTCCTTCAGTTCTTTTTATTGTTCTTCAGTTCATATCATGATTTCATTATAGTAGAAAGTAGGTACTGATTTTGGGTATTAAACTTTCAACTTCTATCGTTTGTGGATCTTTATAATATAAATATAGATATACGGTGTATAATGCATACCTCCGAAATCATCAACAGTAATTAAATCCCCAGCCGATGCATAAAAACGTAATGTATATGTGTAATAATTAATTCATAGGATTGACAGTATTGCTTCTAAACTGAAGAGTGTCAAATGTTTAATTAATAAACACTGGACATATATGAAAACTAACCTCTCTAGGGAATCCTCGTCCATTATTAATGGTAATGCTAGCAGGCAAGTTTGTTGGGTAAGCGAAATATCTCATATAAATTAAACTTGTTCGTAATTTGGAAATGGTCAAATATGTCATTCATCCGAACATTGATTTTTGTATTTATCTTTAAATTATTATATACAAAACAGAGGCGCAATAACGTACATCTATGTACACAACTACTTTTCGAGTATTTCTGGCCATTCGCGTCGTCGCTGAGACTGTACAATTTCTGGATAGGTTCCAATCATGTCCTAAACTAAAGAAAACCTTAGATAGGCGTTTAACGGAGACTTAAATTTATGCATTTGTTTTCATAATTAAGAAGAGTTTAGCCAACGGTGGATCGACTAACTCTGTAAATGAGCATTTGAGTGGTTTATTTGACCTTGAGTTACCAAATCTCATCACTTTCTCCAGATTCCTCCTTGCTTTCCTTCCAAAAGATATCAGAAAAATAATCAAGAATTATTTCGCGAAACTTAGGGCGACCCTGCATCACCCCACTTGATCAACTGTTTACAATACAGTAACTAGATTAATTTGAGTGCACTAACATAGACGGCGCGGATATGGACTTGTCTTGCTTACTCTTGTTGAGTGTAGATTAATTTACGTTGTTTTGTTTTGTTAAGTCTTTTCAATTGAAAAATTAGAGAAAATGATATTAATGTGCTGGGAGTGCGAATACGATTTAAATATGACTTTATATCTCATATTATAGTAATTTTAAAAGTAACTAATGTATATTTAATATTGATTGAATATTTTTTTTTATAATGATATCGAAATTAAATTTAAAATACCTATTTGAATTAATTTATGTTATTGTTATTATTAAATTCAAATTACAATAAGATAACTATACTTTGATTTTTTTATATATATTCAAAAATTCCCATCTTAGGGGTCAGTTCTAACAATAATATATCACAATTAATTATAGAAACAACAAAATTAAAACTCAAATCATAAATTATATCTGTATTAGAAATCATGAATTCAATGATGGTTCAAAAAAATTCAATATTTCTTTACAAGCAATTGTAAACAATAATTCTCAGGTAACAATATTTACTAAAAATAGGTACTAAATTCTAAATTATTTGTATATACAGCGTGTCCCGCTGTAATGTCCGGAAGAGGGAAACGTTTTTTTATTTGTGGGTTTACGACAAAAAGTCTCTCTTTGTAAAAACTCCTGCTTGTTCCAATAAGGTCAAAACTTTAAAAATATATCTCATTTTTTATGCAGTATGTTCAGTATTTAGAAAAATATTGTTAGTCGCCAAATATTATCAGGGATGTCATTTAGGATCCACAGGGGATTAAA